CCATTCATCAAGAAATGTTCGCACAACGTTTTGTCCATTAGAGGAGGGACTGTAATTGTTATTACAGTTTAGGCAAAACAGTCAGTATTAAAATTAGTACTTTTTTTTATTTGCTCCACTCTTTTGAATGTATTGTTCAATGCCTATGTGGACTATATGAAACAGTATAAAACACTGTATATCAGCATATAAATTACATGTTGTGTTGATATTCTAAGTGAAAATAAAGTAACACTTTCTCTATAGAGTGTAACAATTAACAAATATTATTCTGCAAATTATAGTGCACAATTTCTATTTACTTAAATTTAACATATGGGGGAAATGCCATAACTTTTGTAAAGGCCATTTCATGTTTTCAAACGAAAAAACAGTAATTGTGCATTAAAATCTGCAGACGCGAGTTCTCTTTGAAGGATATGTTAACTTACGTTTACATGTTTAACCAGGGGTGTCCAAACTTGTGCACAGAATTGTATAAGCAAGCCGATATCCAATATTTTTCATGTACATATTTACATTTAAACATTTATAAAATGTAGAAATTTAGACTACATGTACCTGTAATTAGCATTACAAAGAAATATCAACACATCTGTAGAATGTTACCAATTCAGTACACTGAAAAATGAAAGTGTTCAAGCAAATATCTGCCCATATTATAATTCTGAGATACACACACATTATACATAATATATACACATAGTCATATTCTCCTGTGAAGTGTCTTTTCTGACTTATGAGGTTTTGATTCAATAGCAGATATACATGTACATGCATGTCTCTTTAGACTAAAATCTCGTTGTCCCCCACATACCCAGATTTCACACTACTAACACTACTTCTAGTGACCACACACACTGCTGTATACTGTCCACACTCTAATCCACCCAGCTTAAGCTCAAACATACACACACATTTTCACTATGGAAATCTACCACATCACCTCTTTCTCATTTTCACTCTCCTAACGCTACCCTCTAACACTTACTTCTACTTCAGGGGAAATGCAAAATCATATGATGTATAAAATAAAACAAACAAAAACAGTCTCAGACAAGCAATTCAGAGCCAGCTGCCTTCTGGCTGTCCTGTATCAATGTACACTTTTCAGTAGCCAAGCGGGCCAAGTGGTGCTGTTGTTTACAGAGCGTAGTTGTGCTCTTGTGTAATCTAACTGAATGAGATGGATGAGTGTTTATCAGTGTTTGAATTAAACTGTGTTTAGACAATCTATTACTCCACGTCCAGCTCTGCAAACAAGACCCCACCCCTGTAACTGCGGCAACTCGGGGGGGGGCGGCAGCTATGACAGAGTTTGACTGTGTAGTCAAACAGATGGAAGTGATACTTATAGCTGTGTGAGAGAGAAGCGATACTTATAGCTGTGTGAGAGAGAGAGAGAGAGAGAGAGAGAGAGAGAGAGAGACCCTTTGAAGAACCTGCCCACATCTATGAGTCATCTGCACGCTCTGGCAACAAAATGAAAAAAGGAAAAAAGAAAAAAACCATCCTCTACATCCTGATTCATGTTCAGGGAAAAGAGAAACCTCCTCTCCGTCCTGCACTAAACTTGCTAAACTTGCCTTGAACATCTCAAGCACCTGTCCAGCCACCTTTTCACAGAAACTTCAGGTTAAATCAGAACTCACTAAATGATTAGACTCCCTAATACCTTAGTCTAAAATCATGATCCCACCTCTTTGGTGATTGAGGGCAACAAGTTGCATTATGTAACACTAGTAGTGCAAGTTGGCAAACACTGTAGACTGTAGAAATGATGCAAACACTGTAAGCAAACACACATTTGAAGCTGCTTCTTTGTGCTTTTAAATGTCATTATGTGATGAACTGTAGCTGCCAACACTCATTAGCCTGGATATAAAGGTTAGCACCTACAGCAGACTGCCTGAATTAAATTAATAAGTTATATAGCTACTTTGCTACAGCACTATTTTTTAAAGACTCCCGCAGCTCACTTACCATTGTAACTTCAGACTGGTGAACTCTTCAACGAAGCTAAAGCTGTGGATGGACAGAAATACAGAAAGGCAGAGGACATGTTTTAGGATGTTTAACACGACGTAAATGGCGCTAAATTAAAACATCTTCCTAAGTATTAAACCGATGTGAAAGAGCAGCCTAACGTTTCATCCTCAGGTAAATTAAGCTCTTACCAGCAGAATGTGCTGTGAAAGTTAATAGAAACCTTACTGAAAGGAAGATAAAGTCTTTAAAGTAGGTTAACTTACCAAAAAGCACAGCAGCTGCTGCAGTCTTTGAGAGCAGAGAAATGAGGAAAACAGGAGGAATGAACGCAACAGAGGAGGAAAACACTTTTAACCGCACTTGAGTTAGCCAGAGCCGCACCCTGGTAACGCCTACGACCGCTGGTGTTCATGGGTAATGTAGTTTTGGAGAAAAGTGATACTTTATGATGGCGTTCTACCTGATAGTTAAGTCTTTTACGTTCTTGCTGATCATTAAAATTATAAATATTCTATAAGTATTCGACCCTTTATGGACAAACAAATCATTTTCAGGTATGGAAGAGATAGTTAAGTTGGACTTTGCATTGGTGCTGGCTAATCACTCAACTGTCTGTATTCTTAGCTAAAATGCAAACTGCAGCAGTAAGAATTTATGGGAAATTTCGACTTTATAATATTTACATATAATACATTTTAACATTTTCTGGACAATAAGACATTAAAGACCCAGGAAACACAGAATAAAATTGTAAGAATGTTAGTATAATACTGTGGTATTCACAAATAAAGAGACACAGTAAACATAGCGCCCTTTATAGAACGCACTTAACTGAACACAAGCAGGTCATTTCTAACCACAACTTTCCTAAACGGCAGACAGTAAACCCACACAAACTACAGCCCAGCACAGAGTGACATAACACATATACACCAGGGTGTTAGCTGGGCATGTAAAGATCCGGAGCTCAGCCCAGTTCACTGTAGGATTGTTTTGGGTTGTGTATTTTTTTTAAATTTCCCTGTAACGTACAGTTTTTACTACTGTGAGGATCTACATATCAATAAAACTTGCAGGAAATCAACACTGATCATTGGCAGTTGGGGAAAAATCATAAGAAAAGAAGTGAAAGTTCCCCCAGTAATATCCACTCCACTGCAACCATCTCTTCTACATTCCCCTCCATTGTCCTGCTAACAGAGAAACAATGTGTCTGCAGTGTGTCTTTGTGTTTTGTGAAGTCTTACTAAACCTTCACAATGCTACAGTCATTCAATAAAACTCTTATTTAAACCAAATAAGAAATAATAATTTAGTATTAAACCAACCCAGCTTGTTTTTTTGTTGTGGATTTGCTGTTTTGTAATAGAAATCTCATGCACTCTCTTAACGTTATGGTCTGCAGCTGCTTTCAGTATAGCTCCTGAGTTTGAGGAATGGGTGAATGTGCTCTTGAATGAAACCATGGACTCTGAGAGTGATGTGAAATCAAGCTGGTTTGAAACGTGTGGCATGTTAATGTTATAAGGGTCAAGGCTGGTTCAAATACATTCTGGGCTATCTGTAGCCCGGGAAGCCACATAGTGCCCCTGGTTTTGGCTGTATTTAAGCTACACTGTGAATAAGTGTTTTCCTTAATGTACTCAGTCTATATTAGGAAATAATAATAACAATAATAATAATAATACCAAATGAGTTCTAAAAGAGGTATGTGAAATGCTAATAAAAACAGAAAGCAGTTTTACCTTATGAACTACATTGTTTTTGTTCCTTTCCCTCATTCTAAATTTGATGCCTGCACCACTTTCCAAAAAAGCTGGGACAGGAGCATGTATAGCACTTGGTTACATAATCTTTTCTTTTAACAGCACTTAATAATCAATTGGGGACTAAAGACAAAACTGATCCAGTTTTGAAAGAGGATTTTTTCCATTCTTCAGTTGTATAAGTCTTTAGTTGTGCAAGCGTACAGGGACTTTGTTGTCGTATTTTGAGCTTAATAAGGCACTTTTTCATCAGGAGACCGGTAGGTGGGCAATAAAGATTGTGTTATGGGATTGCATCTTCTTGTAACAAAGGAAAAGGGCTGGAATTCAGCTGAGAAAAGTGATTTCTGTGGGAGAGACTGGCGTGTACTTTGGGCTCTATGACTTTGCTGACCGGTTACATGCACAGAAACTATATAACACATGAAAGGCAAGGGAAAAAAAACAGAAAAGCATAATAGATCCACTTTAAGTGCAAAATGGGCTCCTAGCTACGGCCCTGAGTACAGGTACTATATCTGACAGCTGTTCTCAATCATGGTCCTGAAGTCCCCCAGTGTTGCCCAAAGTGATGTGATGGAACGAAAGGAAATAAAAATAAGGGCTAATGTCATCTTCAGAAATACTTCACCTTCAGCAAATTATAAACACTCTTTTTACTAGCTGCTTTTTTCTCTTTTTTATTTTTTTATAAATTCCAAAAGGTGATGAATGTATCATATAGAAAAGTCAACTATGTACTTTATTCGAAACACCTACCTTGTATTATGAGGTCCACTTGTCAGAGGAATTCATTATGTTACAAGTGCAATTTTATAGTACATTGCTGGAGTTTTTACATCACTGTCAGCGCTAGAACAGCAGTCCACCACCCAGAAATGTCCATTTAGAAGTGGCTCCTAAATGCAGGAACAGCTAACACAAGCTATATCAACAGATGGACTTCAGTTTGTAACTGTGGTCCTATAATGTAGGCCACATGTGTCAGGCTCCAGTTCTCATAAGCCAAAACACTGCAGACTTCAGTACACACCTAATTTAGTTTATCAGCTAATTAGCAAAGCCTTCATGAACTGAATTCAGAGTGTCAGATGAATGTAAACACTAATCTCCACCGCACTTTTGCCTGGAAGGTCCTCAATTTGACATGCCTGATGTATGCATTTCTAGACAAGTAGCCAGTGAACATTTGCCAAAATAGAGTAATACAAACACAACATTTTTTATTTAGATTTTTTTTATTTAATGAAAGCAGCATGAGAAATAATCTTAAGTGAGCGCTTGGTTAATTTAGCAACATCTGTCTTTTACACCAACTGGCTTCTTAAGCTTTTCTTTCATTACCAGTCCCGTTTCACAAACTGCAGACTGTAACACAAGTACTGTTAAGCACAGAAAACTTCCACGATCAAAATAGCCTTCACTGATATTGATTATTAAAACATTATGCCATCACTATTGCTATTAGCTGCAGCTTTGGTATTAGTTGCATGTTCAAAAAATAGATATTTAGAATTTCATTATATTTGTCAAATGCATTACATTTTTTAAATCAAAATGCTCTGCAATGCAAGTTGTTTTTTGGATTTAGGCATCATCACCAGCACACAACAGAAGCAGCGTTTTGCAATAGTCACCATGGGTGTCATTCTGTGTGAAAAAGACAGAGAGAAAGAAAGAATGCTTTTTAAGCCAACAGACCACTTCAAGCAGTGTATGTGGAGAACTCCAAATTGCTGAATTATTATCATAATTAATTATTGTCATAATTCAGCAATATTAAATTACATATTTTTGCACATAAGTACCTTAATCATTTTGTGCAGAGAAGTTGCAAATGCCTTTCTGAACTCTGCACGTATATCCAGCAGGTCAATTTCACTGCGGGAGACCATAATCCTTATCAGGGTCGCATCATCAGTGCCTGCACCCTGCTTCAGAAACAGAAATTTGCATCAGTAACACACTGTACACACTTCTGTTACAAGAAACACATCAACAAAATCAATACCTTAACATTATCATCAGTACTTTTTATTGCGTGTCTTAAAGGGGACCTAACATGCTCATTTTCAATGTTTATTATTTTATTTTGGGTCTTTACATGCTTCAGTGTCCCTAAAACACATCATTTTTCTCACACTGTACAACTCTATTCACCCTCTCTGAAACTCTCTCTAAGCTCCTGTGGCTTTAAGCCCCACCTCCCGATGAGCCCAGCGTGCTCTGATTGGTCACTCGCATACTCTGTTCTGATTGGTCAACCACCAGAGCAGTTCCAACCCTACATGTACCGCCCCTGTCTTGCAGTGTGCACACAGACCCTTCTCTCCTGAGCAGCTGTAAACAGCTATCCTGAAAGTCAGGTCAGTGTCTTCTCGACATTTCTACAAAACTTGACAAACACTCGCTGGCTTTAAGTAAGGATTGTGTTATGAGATTATGCCATCTTGTAACAAAGAAAAAAGGCTGGAATTCCAACAAGGCATTTCAGGCAGCTAATAAAAGTGGTTTCTGTGGGATCGTCAAAGCCCTCTTTGGCACTGCTATGATTTGGTTCACATCCAATCTATAGCATAGGATGGTTTATATAACTTCATTTTAAAAATGTATACAAATAAAAAAATCTTTGAAAATGACAACTTTTCATTTTAACTTGACATTTCTGAAGAGTCATTTTAAATAATTACTAGAAGGTAAATTAATGTTTTAATATAATTAATGTTTTAAAAACATTTTTAAATCTACCCTTTTATTTGCTTGTTTTTCGACCCTGAGTCCCTCACAAACATGGCTCCCCAAGACTAAAGGTTTGGGCACCCCTGCTCTAGCAGATATAATATCACCTTAAGAGTTCTCCAGGGTTCCATTGTGGGTCCTATTTTATTAATTTTGAATGTGCTACTACATGCATGTATTAGTAGAATTGCCACTGCTATACAGAGGACGTGGCTGCATAGTTCAACATTACCTCATGAAACAGTAACCTTTGACACACAATGTTGCATATCTCACAGTTGCAATTTTACAGAGACAAAACTGAACCAAAGATGGTCAAACCGTTTTAAAAAGCTTAAAAGCCTAAAGCATCATGCTATTAAAAGTAGGAGGCTAGACTACTGTACACTGTTCCATTAAAGGTAAAATAAGGCTACACATCAATAAAAGAAATGGAACCCTTTCCTGCCACTTTAATGTGTTTGTAAATGCTATAAAGAAGACTTAGGAAAGACTGTCATCAATTAAGCACCTTCAACAACAGTTTACCTTCATGGATTTGTACAGACACTCAGCTAAATAGGCAGGAACACTCCTGGCACACTTTACTGAAAGTGAGAGAGAGAGAGAGAGAGAGAGAGAGAGAGAAAGAGATTTCTGAATACCAAATTGAACTGTTCACTAGTTGTGGGTGAATGTGTGTGAATGTGTGCCTTACCTACAGCCAGCAGTACTTCTCTCAGACCTCCAGAAGTTTCTCTCTGTATGCTTTCCTCGATCTGATGTCCAGACAGTTTCATATATGCGTCAAATACTGCAAATACAATAGATAGATAGATAGATATTAACTGATAGGCATACCAGCTTACTCGATGTGTCCGTCACTAGTCTGCGATTTGCTGTTGTAGTAGGCCTGCTGTTTGAAAGTCTAGCTCATGTGCTGTTTTGATAATGGGTATAGAAACAATAAGCATGCTTCTCCCTAGAGATGCACTGAGCCCAGTTTTTCTCTTCTAATACCAATTCTGATACGTCAGTTCTGGGTACCGGCCGAATTAGGATTCCAATCCGATATCCATGCTTTTTTTAAAAAATGGATTTAAATTCTGCATACCTCACTTCTTTAAATTCTGTATACCTCAAAAGGCTGCAACTAAAGCAAAAGAGTAATGTGGCACCCAGTCCTCTGGAACTACACTTCCCAGAACTCTCTTGGAGATCACATGACTGTTCATCAGCCAATAACAACCGTTCAATGATCTCCTTCACCTGAATACTAACATGTTACACCTGTTTTGCTTGTCACATGAGTCTAGTCAGTTAGTATATAAGCCTGGGGCTTTTAGCTTGTGAGGTATTGCTTCACTTCCTTGAACTACTGAGTGGTCTATATTTGTTTTCCTTTTTGTGTATCTGGATGAGTTTTTGGACTTTTGGCTCCGATTTTGCCTTTGCCCTTTTGATCTTGGTTGCCTGGCTCTTATGTTTTCCCTCATGTCTTTTTTGATTGTTTGGATCTGACTTGTGCATGTTTTTTGAATATGAGCTTAAATCATGTTTCAAACAGTAAAGCCTCATCATTTAACAACATCCACGAGCATCTACAGTTGTGTTGCACTACATAATGAGAATGAAAACATAAAATTCATCAGAATGAAAAGCAAGCATGAGGTATTACAAAACATAAACAGTAACTATCTAGAAGAATATTCATAACAATGCAACGGCAAAATAAAGAGTAATCATAATGTCAGTGTGAACTTTTCAGTGCAACAATTAAGTTGTAAAATATAAACCTTTAAAGAAAGTCTGAGTTTAGCCCTCGGAACATTAACTTTGCAAATATTCCATGTTGCTGTGCTGCTAGCAACTCTATCAAACTTAAAATATCTCTAAATTGCAGACGTTTGTTATTAGCCAGCACGAGTCTTGCAGCTTGTTAGCTGACATTTAAATTGAGGATGTGTTAAATGAGGCACCCTTATTATTCATTTCATATTTAACCACTTTCATTTCATTTACCTATAACTTTTTAGCCTACATGAAATTGATGATAATGCATAAGTATGAGATGTGATGCATTGCAGCTTAGAGAAATAACCGTGGTGGATTTCACTTTGCGAATTTATTTTCCCTAAACAAAGACGTTTCTCTGTAATGTGATTGTTTATAATTATTACCAGTACGAGGTTCAATGTTCTCCTAATAAAACAGAAAGTGTTTTGATGTTTATCACATTTTGGAATACTGTGCTTCAGGTGAAGAGCAAATGCAACTCAGAGACGGCATCGAATGTGTATCAGACACGTCTGTCCGATTAGTTTAATCAGTAATCAGTCAGTATCGTACCGATCTGATTTTTTCCATTTGAGAAATGTGATTTCTCTGTGGTTAATTATTAGAATGCTGCATAAGGTTTTCCTTTACTAAGTAAATTACCTCTCCTAAGGTGTTCAGCACTGCGGTTCCCCAAAATAGTGATGAACTGATCCTCATCAGTACCAAACTTCTTTTCTCCTGCATTAAAGAGTGCCTGTGCACAACACAAACACATAAAGCCTAAACAAGAGACAATATATTTCATGACCAGTTCTGATTTTTTTAAATCAGAAAGCAGAAAATATATTTAACATAAAATTACACAGAAGCCTCAGTGACTACATATGGTATATTTTTTACTGTATTTGTATATATATTTTTTTCTGTATCCATTTTGGTCTTATTTTCTTGTATACACATATACAAAGGTATCTCAAGAGCACATATTTACCTGAGCATCACTCTGGATAGTGCTCTCTTGTATGCCCGGCTGTCTGTTGGCCTAAAACCAAAACATTTCTCGTTATAACAAATATTAATACACACTCAAATACACAAAAGCAGTTAACATGCCCTGACATTATATAATCATTTAGACCAGTAAATATGCACTAAATCACCATCTACTTAATATGAAACATTTACCTTGTACCTCCACTCACTGGCCACTTTATAAGCTCTATCTCCATTATATGGGCATATAATTGCAGACTGTAGCCCACCTGTGGTCATATCCATTCATTATTTTTCAGCTTCTGAGCACTGTTGACCTTTATTTGGGTTGTGGACCATTCTCAGCAGTTTTTACAGGCACTGCTGGGTTGAGAGTGGTCCACTACCCAAAAATGATGTGCAGCCAAAAGTGATTCTGTTTTCAGAAGATAACCACTGATGGGTAGCTAAAAGATGGCCAACAAAAATTGAGCTACAGCCTCAGCAACGGTATACTAGCAAGCTGGAGCTACGACATAAGTGTTTCTAATAAAGGTGGCCAGTTAGTTTAGACGTACACATCACTCAGGTAACTGAGTAAATGCAACAATTATCCAAGGTATCTGACATAATATTACCTGTAGCAAAATGACCAGCATTTCTTTCAAGTGTCCACCAATGTCACCAGTCACATCATCCTCCAGGCTACGGTCGTACTCTATAATATACACCATAATTATCATCATCAGTAAATAATGTGTTATATCCACCCTCAATCACCAACTTCATCATTCTCAAATCAATTATACAAATGGCCATCAACATTACAAAAATGCTCTTACCCTGTTTGTAGGTCTTGATAATTTCTCGAATCTCATTTTGATTTCTCGATGCCAGGATCTCAATCAATACCTTCTCATCAGTGCCCGCCCCCTAAAAGAAAAACAAGCAGTGGGACATACAAGCAGACATTTCAGTCAAAGATAATTCCATTAGCACAAGGACTTTTTGTGATTTAGTACAATACAGAATTTAGTTTTTATGAGCAGTTATTGAGCATTTTAAAAAGGAAACTAGAAAATGAACTACTTTTTTGAAAAAAATCTTAATTTTTTCTGGTTGGTGGTTGTCAGGTTCAGAGAGAATGTTGTCACAATAATTCAATATGGTTAAAACACTGAAAGTGAAAGTGTAACATGATTTTGCATCTGTTTGATTCCCACAGTGTGTGCGTGTGTACCTTAATGGCATTCCTCAGTGAAGTCACGTCAAACATAACCGGTGTAGCCATCAGCGCCACAATTAGAGTCTCAAACTTCCCTTCCAACTCAGACTTCAGTTCACTCACCAAGTCCTACAGACACAGAGAGAGAGAGAGAGAGAGAGATGCTCTTACCTCATATAGTATAAGCTGATAGCCTCTTTGAGTACAGAAATAAATGTAACAACGAAGTTTGAGTGGAAGACGTCACAGATTACACTGAAAGGCGTCACAGATTACACTGAAAAGCGTCACAAGTTACACCAAAAAGAGTTACAGATTACACTGAAGTCACACATTACACTGTGTTACAGATTACACAGACAAGCGTCACATATTACACTGAAAGAAATTCTTTTTAAAATACATCCAAACTTTAGCTAAATGTAACCTATGTAGTTTACAGTATTGTTGCTATGATCCAATCTATTGTTCATCTACTAATTTCCCAGCTATCCATTTACATTATTTCAGTTCTTCTTTTTTCCTCTCCACTCAACAATAAGCTGACCACTTAGATGGTTGTGCTAAGCATTTGGCACTTTGTTGTGTTTCATTTTGCACATATTGGTATTACTGTATGTTCAACATCCAACAGTATCTGTTAATTTGTTACTTAAAAGAATTCTCACATGATAGATATTTATTTTTATAAATACCCAACACATTTAGTTTCCACACTGGCGCTATATTCTATGATACTCTTTGTGGCTATTGGTTTCTTATTTGTAATTTGTATTGTGTATTGTCCATTTGCGTAAGCATGGATTTCAAAAAGATTCCTGATGTGTAGTATAACTGCATGGTAGAGTTGGAAGGTAGTGTTATTCCAATGGAGATCCAAGTCCTAAACATATATCTTAACACTGATGTTACCTTGCCATGCAGCGTCTTGTAGGCAGCCTTGATCTGCTGGCGCTGAGCATTGCTGCGGGCAGTCAGCAGCTGCAGAATGGCTGCCTCATTGGTGCCTGAACAGACAGTAAAAATAAGGGTTAATGGCTGCTGTGTCACTTTTTACATTTTGAAGTTAGGCAAATATAAAAGATCCAGCAAATGACAGGTTAAATGTCCATGCAAGCATCACGTACTAACCAAACATGATATACAGTTGCCCCCAAAAGTATTTGGACACTTTAGCATTATGTCCTTTAGGTTATTTTATAAAGATACTTTTAGCACAACATTAAACTGATGGCAGATTCTTTATGTGGAGAAGAATTCCAACCAGACTGCATTAAGGTTACTGCAACGCATAGAGTCTGGGGCTGTTACAGTGGTGTCAGTAATCTTGTGTTCACTGATGTGATCATGAATTTAGAAAAATGTACAAAGGCAATGTGGATGCAAACCTGCAGAAGTCTACAAAAGCGTAACGATCCGAAACATTGGAGTGGCCTGTTTAAAATAAATGCCACGTGATTTCCTTGGTTTTCTGACACAATGCACATTTTTAGGTGTGGCACAAATGTCTAAATAATTTTTGGTGCCACTTATGCATATTGCTGATTAGAAGCAATAATCAGTGCTATAAAATAGGTTGTGCAGCTCATATCTATCACTCAGAAATATCCAATTGTTGGATTATTTATTTTAAAATAAAAACATATGGGTTGATGTAAACATGTTTTAATCTGTTGAAACACAATGATGTAATCAACAGAAAACCTTCAATTTCATAACATTTTTCATAACAACAGCAGCTTAGAAAGTGGAACAATATTTTTTTTTTCTGTGACTAAACTTCACTGACCTGATTTCTCATTCAGGTTTTGATTGGTTCATTGAGTAGCAAATCCATTAAACATTTCCAAAATTAAATGCATGCTGTGACTAACCCAGTCCTTTCATTGCCTTGTGAAGAGCCTCGGCATCATTATTGGCATTGAACCCACTCTGGGCCTTCACAGTTCCTCTTCCGGCCTAAGATAAGGAAAAAAAAAGCAGGTTGTTTCCTCTTCCATTTGCCTTCATTCCGGAATTTTAAAATGATAAATCTAAAATATCTTATCTCATAGATCTCATGTAGCCACATTCCCTGGCTTTAACACATCTGATTCAATACTGCTGAACTGTGTTAGAACAAGGGTTTATTAATAAACTTTTTAACTGGGTAATTTTAAGGTTACCCAGCTTTACCAGTATGGCTCTAAACTGTCACAGGTAAAACACTGTTGTTTGTAACAGGTGGGGGTGGATAAAAATAATAGACTGTAAGATGCATCACAATTCTAAGATTCGGCTTCTAACATGCAGTCGCAATACAATTCAAAATACATCAGCATCCTCCCAGTGTAAAATAAACCCACATACACTCAGAGACATTATAAAGCAGAATATTTTGGCATAGCCCAGCTTGAAGGAGGACAAAAAGGTAGGATCTAAATAATGCGGCATATTTGCAGTCACAAATGGTCACAAATTTCATGTATATGAAATAAAAGGCCCAAAAGCATAGTAAACATGACCTTACATAAGAATGCAGCCTTGTTTAACAACCACTTCAGCAACTTGCTAACAAGCTCATCCATTAACATTCAGAGTCTGACTTAAGTCTGAAGATTGAGTGAATCTGATAAGATGCTGAAACAAGAACAGTTAAGCCGGTGTACTGTGTAAGATCTGGGGATTTGGAGACCTCTCTGGTGGAAATGTGTAATTGCATGCAACATGCAGAAGAAGATTTTGCAACGTGGCTTACGCTTCGGACCCCTTCCTCGAGCTTAAGAATCTGATAATTCCTTGTGTGTTTAAAGAGAACTGAAAGAGAACTCAGTCAAAACGTGTGAAGGATGTATCGTCTGAGGATGTAAGCGAATGATCCACTTGCTGCAATTGCTGCTTTTTTTACTATGCATGCTGTTCATAATCAACAACAGTGTTAATATCTTACTATCTGATATATTTCCATAAGCAAGCCAATTGCTTTATGTCTGTATGTTAAAAAAGTGAAAGTGATTCCTAAATAACTCACAGTGATTCCAGAGGGAGACGATCATAATTGGCTCAGGTGTTCACATGTAAGCATGGCCTGGTTTAGCCCCTTGAGTGACAACAAGAGCATAAAGATTCCTTTTCCACAGCAGACGCTCATTAAAACCAAACCAAACCAAACACTGGAAACTCTCTGCTTAAATAGATCCAAGATATTTAGTGACTTCACTTTCTAACATGCAGTCTTTTGCAAAAGTTTGAAGTTATGTGTAAATAGGTTAACATCTTCTACTTGGAATACACTTAAATTTTACAGCCCGATTTCTGTTTATTTGTTGAGCTTAACATATTGGAAGAAAATGAAATATATATTATTAAATGCGCCTATATTTCTGCACAGGTCACAAAAGTTTTTTTTATTTAAGTATGTTTAATTCAGCAAATAAGCAGTTAGTGAAAATTAACACGTTGTTTGACCAGGAGTGCCCAAACGTTTGCACACAACTGCATTGGTTTCTATAAACATATGGACCAAACCTAAAGCAATCAAAGCTAATGGTGACTGTAAACTAACACAATCTGGGTTTAGGTCCTTGTTCTATTCAAAACCTCTTCAATGCTTCAATAATAGTCAGCCGATGTGTTTGGGTGCGTCCTTAAGGGGGTTCCACTGGCTGTGTGCTTAAGCATGGGTGCGATGAGACGTAGTAAAAGCCTAACAAACAAGTGTCTGGTTTCTGGCCAAAGGCTGAACTCAGAAGACTCAAGCTTAATAATTATACAATATCTAGGGATGATGCAGAATGATATTGGAATCTTTATGCTGTCTTCAGATAATCAGTAAAATAATGATCAGCACTGGCCAGATGTTTAGATTTGACTGATATTTCAAAATGATATTCATTTTACTGCATTTGTTACTCACTACAAAAGAATGTTACCTTTTTCTGTAACGCTGATGTCTACATTTAATGAATTTTAATGTATCGACATCAGTAGATACAGTCATATGCAAAAATTCAAACAGCCCTGGTCATATTGATATGCCAATTTTGTGTCCTGATGAAAGGAATTTCAGGAATCTCTGGGGCTTATTTCGAGCATGCTTTGTGGATGTGGTTGGATTTTTTGTTTTTTGCCACTCCCAACATGGAACTGTTACTATAAGTTAACAAAATTTAAGTGTAAAATGTGGCAAAAATTTTGTACAGACCACATTTCCAATATGTTACATTCAGCAAATGAACAGTAATTATACACACACATACACACACACACACACACATCATCTAAACCGCTTATCCTTCTGGGTCACGGTGGGGTGCTGGAGCCTATCCCAGCTGTCATTGGGCGGAAGACAGGATACACCCTGGACAGGTCGCCAGTCTATCGCAGGGCCAGTAATTGTACACTAAACTGTTTTTCATACAACCTTATGTACATGATAAACATTGGAAATCTGCTTCAGAATTCCCAAATCAGTACATTCCTAAGGGTCCAATATATGCACTGATCTAGAAAAATAAATATAAATATAAAAATGAACAAATTATTAATTTTACATAACTTTAACAGACTTGACCGTTACCTAGAGCAATTTATGATGGCAGTTGAATTACATTAGGTGGACGATAAAACCAAAAATAAATTCAAAAATCTATCTAACACTTATGGCATACAAATGAAGAATTCTAATGAGGTTACTGTGTTTTGGAGAGTTGAATGTTGTGTGTGAAGAACTGTGCATTGTCTGCAGTATTGTGTAATGGAAGTGAGTCAGAGCTGGATTCCTGTTATGCAATCCAAACATCCATTCTGTCAAGAGAGGGCAGTAAATAAAAAAAAATAAAAAAATTGTTAAAAATCCAAAGAGCAGCACTGACACTGGTCACCAATCTGAAAAAACTGTGTTAAAAAAAACTAACAACAAAAAAAAAAGCAAAAAATTGCGTCCAGTCACCTTCCTGGATGAGACAAAAATGTTAAGCCTATTGGATGGATTGCGTATCTTGCTTAAGCAGGCAAAAAATCAAACGTGGTGCTCAGAAAAGGCAGAGCCATCACAGGAAAGATGAATTTAAATTTCATCTTTTATGTCCAATATACATGCTGTGAGTGTCAGCAAGGTGGGCGAGGATGCTGGTGACACTGTTAGCACAGGGACACGCGAGGCTGCATCTGCAGCAGCTAGCATTAGCACCTTAATCATGCCAACTAACCCTGCTGACAGCGACTAACCAGCTGCCGGTATCACTACTCCAGGCCCTGAACGAAATCTAGGAGTATCCAACAGACAGAGCCAACTTCTCTGTTGATTTTACTGATCCCAGTGTGAAGAGGACCATACTTTCCCAAGGCTCATGTAAACCAGAGGGACCTTTTCCCAGGAAGAAAAATGGCAGATGCTTTTTAAAGTAATTTTTACTTTAAACCATCTTAGATGGGTTGCACAGTTCCTCAGAAATGGATGTGTTACTCGCCAAAGATGGACTGTGTTTATTGTGAGACATGCTGGCTTTTTCCAGATAGGAAGTGCTCATCCCATCATCCCCCATGGACAGTGGGAATTAATGACTGGCAATGACTGGCAATCAATAATTGTGGAGGAGATTGTATATATATATATATATATATATATATATATATAGTGATATGGGTATGCATGTGTTCCTTTAGATTGAATCTGTAACATGACAAATGATCTTAGACCCTTTTGCCCTTCACATTCCCACTTACTTTTAGCGAAACCAGTCTCAAACAAGCAACTTTAAGGGAACTGCCTTCTCACATTCTCATATCAAACTACACTTTTATATTAGCCAAGGGATGCTGATGTTTACAGAGCACAGTGTTTGAACTACATTTTGCTTCCACAATCTACTGCTCCACTTCCAGCTCTGCAAACAAGACCCCACCCATGTTACCATGTCAACTCAGGGACAAGTTGGAGACAATTATGATTGAGTTTGTCTGTGTAGTCAAAGAGATGGAAGTGATACTTGAAAGAGAGTGAGAGAGAGAGAGAGAGAAAGACATGACCTTTGAGAAACCCAGCCCACACCCATGAGTCATCTGCATGCTCTGGCAATGAAAAAAAAATACGCTTCTTTACGTTTCATGTTCAGGGGAAAGAGAAACCTCTCTGCTCTATAACAAACTCGTCTGCAAATCACAAGCATCTGTCTAGCTGACTTTTCACAGAAACTGCAGAGCACCAACACTGGAAAAAGCACTTTGGATTAAATTAGAACTCATTACATCAGTGTAATTATGATCAGTGATGGATGATTAGACACCCTAATACCTTTCAGGCTAAAATCATAATCCCACCTCTTTGGTGATTGAGCGCAACAAGTTGCATTATGCAACACTAGTAGTGCAAGTTGGCTGTAGAAATTATGCAAACACTGTAAGCTAACACATTTATTAAAGCTTGTTTATGCTTTTTAATGTCATTATGTGATGAACTGTAGCTGTCAACACTCATTAGCCTGGATATAAAGGTTAGCACCTACAGCAGACTGCCTAAATTAAATTAATAAGTTATATAGCTACTTTGCCACAGCACTATTTTTTAAAGACTCCCGCAGCTCACTTACCATTGTAACTTCAGACTGGTGAACTCTTCAACGAAGCTAAAGCTGTGACAGACGGAAATATAGAAAGATAGAAGACATGTTTTAGGATGTTTAATATGATGTAAATGATGCTGAGTTAAAGCATCTTCGGAATTATATAGTGTTATTATAAGTGTAATTATTAAACCAGTTTGAAAGAGCAGCCCAACGTTCCATCCTCAGGTAAATTAAGCTCTTACCTGCAGAATGTTGTGTTGTGAAAGTTGATCGAAATCTTACTGAATAGAAGTGAAAGTGTTGAAAGTGACTTACCAAAAGCACAGCAACTGCTGCAGTCTCTGAGAGAGGAGGAATGAGGAATACAGGAGGAATGAAGACAGCAGATGAGGAAAACACGTTTAAAAGCATTTGTGTTACCCAGAGCCACACCCTGGTACACACCTACACATCTACAATCAGTACACACTTACAACTGCTGATGTTCATACCTGATGTAGTTTTGGAGAAAAAGTAAAAATTTGCAAGACTCAGTCAAAATGTTTTTTATTGTGCTACCTAATAATAACTCTTTATCGTTCTTGCCGACAATTAAAATGAACTCCCCTATATGCATTTGACTCTTTCTGGAAAAAATGATATTCAGGTATTGAAAGGGTAGTTAGACTTTGCAGTGGTGCTGGCTAATCACTCAACTGCCTGTATTCTTAGCTAAAGTACAAACTTCAGCAGTTAGAATTTATGTGAAAATTTCTAATTTATTATATATACATACAACAAATTTGAACTTTTTTGGGGAATATGCATATTTGTCAATAACAGAAGTCTTGATTTAAGTCAATCTAAACTAGCTACACAACTTGAATTTGAACCAAAAGTGCTCAAACTTTCATAATTTGTTTTGAAGTTGATTTGATTTGCATATGAATCATTTCATCTCCTCATTAAGGACTATATTTAGTATAATTGCATCGAGTTGTGGTGTCAGAGGTTCATTGTAATAGTTAGACAACTGCATTTTTTTACCATTGGTCCAAATGATTAGTAACTGGAAGCACCAGTTTTTTAACACAATCCACAAATGTGCTTGAGCATGTGTAGATGGTCAGGTCTGCCCAGTTCTATTCATTGAGATACCAATCGACACAGTTCTAACGCCAATCTACCCAAGGTGATCCAACTTGTCAAGCTAGTCTTTGGAAGCCTTACAGGAGAGTCACACCTGTTTCGGTTAGATTATGACTGAAAACTCAGCAGATAACAAGCATTCCAGGTGGGGTGCTCTGTGCATGGACAGCTTTTATGAAAGTACAAATCACTGCAATGTGGAGCACATATGTTGGATTGCATGGCAGGTTTAGAGTCATTATGTCTGTGTTCAGATACAAATGAGCCAGCTTTTTGAGATGAAGAAAGAGTAAGGAGGACTGTGTGAGCAGAAGTTTCTTAATTCGGAAACAGAATTATTTGTAGAGAGAGGCATTCCCCAAATTTCTGAATCCTGTGCAAATGCAGCCACATCAGTTAAATATGTATAAGCATGTAGCCTTACTATGTTTAATAATATAAATCAGTTGAAATAAATAATTAAGTCATTACAGTCTTTACTTAGAGAGTAGTTCCAACATTCTTTTCAAATTTCTGCATAATTATATCTTTAAAATGCAATCAAAGTCATTCAGAGAGGTTTGGTTGAAATACACCAAAAATTTGCAGAATTACTCACAGTGGTGGTTATAGGAACCAGACGTCTGAAGAGTTAAATGCCTCTAAAAGCTACCTCACAAAAACGATTACATGACATTGGTAAAAGTACAATGTCAGTTTGGCATGAAACTGATTTTTTTGGTAAGTCTGTTCATGGTGAAAAGTGTTACATGCAGGGTGTTGTACCATATACCATACTTTTATCATCGTTATATATAACATATCTCCCCTTTGCCTCAGCCCTCATGTCCCATGGCAATGCCACCGGTGTCGGTAATGAGGAGTGGTCCAGTGGTCATGCCAAAAGACATAAGGCGAGACCGTGCCAGGGAGTTGATAGCGTGGCTCTTGTTGACGCTTGGGGTCTGGTTGATGGCCTCACGTTGCCTCTCACTGATGCCTGACACTGTTCTAGATACAGATAGCATGGTACTGCAGAAGCTCATCATGCAATAGTTTCACCACAGCACAGGTTAATCTCACTGACTCAATATGAGTCTGTCTCACTGATGCAAGTTGACCATAAAGAATCAAATCTCAGTGAATAAACCTGTGTATTTGTGTTTGGAGCTGTTAGCCTAAGGTATTTTTAATCTATCTCCTTATAGCACCAGAGGCCAACATTAGCTTAGCGAAAAGGCTAAACCACCAGCAATTCTCTCTCACTGATGCTGCACTGAGGCAAGTTTAGAGATTAAAGACTCAAATGTGAGAAAAGTGACCAGTGCTGAAGTGATAGAAAGAGAGGATCTTTTCTGATGGTTAAAGTTACAGTGGGAGTTTATTTATGTTTCTGCTCTGTCTTCGTATTTTATCTGTTCAGTCTGTTACATATATAGTGATGGCATGCAGGGCGGTGGAGGGGTTGTGGGGTTTAGAAAGAGTGCAGCCAGGGGCATTTTCTGGTTTGTGCAGGAACCCCTCCCAACAGGATGACTTTGCGGTGTTGAGAAAGAATAATCTGGGAGAATTAAACACTGAAAAATATGTCGGTGAGTTATTTTTTTTACATATAAATCAAATTGGAGGCTGTGCAGTTACTTTGTTCTTCTAATTCAATAATTCTACAACCAAAGTTAACATGGAATCTCTTAGCAGAATATATTTGATGTCAGAAACATGTTAGCCCACACTGGAAGGGCTGGAAAGCATCAGTTATGCTGCTTATGACACAACACAATGCTAGTGAACTGGCCCTGAATTTAAACTGACATTAAACATTGACAATCAAGAGTTTTTTGTGAAAAAATGTGAAGAGAACCTGATGATGTGCCATGTCAAGATAAGGGTGTTGGAATGCCTGAGCTTCCGTCAGCTTCTACACAAAAGAGTGTGTTGATAATGCATTTTTTCTGGAAACCTCTGCATTTGTCTTGACATAACAGACAGGTTTGTGGACGCTTGTGTCACTGCTGCTTGAAGTTGTTTCTGCATATTATTTACTGTGCATTATTTAAACAGGGGTCTGCAATAAAGAAATGTTTTGCCGAGCTTTCCGTGGAACACCTTTGGAAACTCCCCAACTTCGTTGACATTGCCTGGCTTGCGGCTGAATGGAATTGAAGCTCTTCAGCCGTGTTTCACAATTTAGAGGAAAGACAGCAGCAAAGGGAGACCAACTCTATATTAATGCACATAACAAGCCCATAAAGATGGGATAGTCAGATGTCCTCAAACGTCTGGCAATTTAGGCCCAATCCCATTTCTTATTTTTACCCCTACCGCTTGTTTTCGAGTGTCAGCTTATGTGGTTGAAATCTTTCCCTATGAAATGGGACAACCCTCAAATAAAAAAAAGAGCATTACTTCATTAACAGGCTACTAGCACTGCTCTGTTGGCGACCCTGCCAGTCTGCAGTGATAGCAGAGGAGGGTAAAGTTCAGCAACCTCACTGCTGGGCTTCAGTTACATTTAGGGAATCATATACCTTCATAGAGGGGTGTAGCACGGCATGTGCTACCCCGGGCTCAAGGAGTACGCTGGAGGCAGGGTTCAGGTTTGCAGCAGCCACATTTATTCACACACCAAATAAAGAAAAACCAAACAACAAAAGCTATGCTACGTTGGCCACTTTTCAGTGACTTTCACCTAGCTCAGTCTTTCTTACTCCAGCTTTCCAGCTCTCCAGTCAGTCTCTGTTGCGGCTGCTCGTCCCTCACTGTCGCTCTGTTCCCTCAGCTCTTTTTAAAAGCACCCGAGCCGAGAGGGAATGAGAGGTCGCTGCTCCGCCACCTCGTTACCGCTCGCTCCTTGGCCTCATGCCTCTCGTTGCCTCCGCAGCCCGGAGAACGAGTGGGCGTAACGAATGGGCGGAGACACTGGCAATCATTTCTTGCATCGGCCAATCATATAACAGAGATGGACTGTCAATCAAAACTTGCATTGGCCAATCACAAGTGGGAATTACCTGTCTCTCATTTTATGCATCAGCCAATGGTTTGAAGGAAAGTGCAAAAAGGCGTTCCATACTGTTCAGGCACGCGGAAGTGGGAAGATAGTTTAAAGCTTTGAAGTTGCCTTAAATATCACCTAATTTCTTATTTCAGATCAATACGTTATTATAAGTATTGTTTCACTTATATGCTATATGTACATGCTTAGGTCTCTTTGGCAGGTAAAGCAGGACGGAGTTCATGCAAACACTGACTGACCATCGCACATAAAAGCATCAGTGAACTGATAGAACATGTTCCTCCTGACTTTATGGGTAAATACATGAGCACAATATAGAAATATGTGCTCATATGCAGTTCTGACTGGCGTGTCTTTTTCTGAGTTTATCCAAACACTGATTCCACCTAAACTTTGCTTGTTCACAAAAAGTGATTTCATAGCCACTTGGTTCCTAATGGAACTGTTTGCCTTCAGTGTTTTGTGCTTATGATGATTTTAGGTCTCGGGTCTGCAGCATTCCCCTTCTCACAACATCCAGATTACACGTTTGGCTGCTTCTGCTTAGCGATTTCATCACTTAATCCATTTATCGTCCAGAACACGGCCAGAGAACTTCATTTAATTTACCTACCAGTTGAAAAAAGTCATAGAACCCATTAAACGTGTCTGTCGGTTCCTGGTGGTTTTCAGTAGTCGCTAATGGTGTTCTGGGTTGATATCACAGTGTAAGGGATTCAAATAATTTAATCAGCTGTTCTGGGACTGATTCCATATACAGTTGTTCGTTTCCTAAAGTTCTCTAACGGCAACCATCAAGCCAATTCCCATTAGGAAGCACAACCATCAGGTTTTACTCCTAACGGTTCTGATCGTCTTCAGCCTGGCTTTCATCAGTTTCAGTAGTGTGTTTGTTTTTCTGCGAATGAACCCGACATTATGTTTTATCGTCGCGGTTTTATTTTGAAAGTTTCCATATTTAATTACCTTATTATCACTATGAGAACGTTCATATACATTCAGTGTAGCTCTTGTTGCCCAGCAGTTCGCTGTTTTTCTCTCATAAAACCAACAGAAACTCTGTGGTGTCAGAGCAGCACTGATGCCGTTAGCAGGCTGGCGGTGCTGGTCGGGCTGAGAGTGCAGGTCTGCAGACAGACCGTTAGATTGGCTAATGCAAAAAATGACGGACAGCTCGTTCTAATCTGCGGTTGGCCAAGGCAAAATGTGATTGACGGCCAAGAGTAGTTATTTAATTGGTTGATGCTAAAAATGATTGA